CTACTGATACTACTGCTACTACTGCTGCTGCTGCTGCTACTACTGCTGCTGCTGGTACTACTTCTACTACTACTACTACTACTACAACTACTACTACTACTACGACCACTCCTGCTACTCCTGCTACTACGGCTACTACTGCTGCTTCTGCTACTGCTACTACTGGCACGATAGCTATGACGACGGCGGCAACAACTACAACTACAACCACCGCAACTCCTTCTCCTCCTCCCTCCTCCTCCTCCTCCTCCTCCTCCTCTGCCTGCTGCTGCGGCTGCATCTGCTGCGACTCTAAGGCGACGACGATGACGACGACTACTATTAACGAGTGCTGCGATTTAACTACGTCTTAGTACGACAACGATGGCCCCCACTGTTGTTTCTGCGCGCTTCATGCCCCAAGAAGCCCATACACTCGCAAAGTCCCCCCGAAAGGGTTGAACCTCTCAGGCACGGTCTAAACCCTAATCCCAGCCTTTGAACCGCACAACCCAGGACTCGGAAATCCCATTTTGCAGCTCGTGAAGCCCGAAACTTCCAAACCCCCAAATCCCACGAATTCGCCTCGACGCAAGCCTGCCGACACCAGAACACTGGACCAGGCATCCGAAACCCCTGAAAAGACCGTTTCACGAGGACTGTGGATTGGCTTGTTCCTCTTCAACATCTCTCGTTTGACCGGGTCCTTGAGTCATCGGTTCCGTTTCGGACCGCTTGCGAGAAGGGCCGCAAGCGCCCAGGAGGCGAAAGTGGCTTGAGGGTTCGCTTTTGAAGAGGTCGGTGACCTGGGACTCGGATTGGCAAGTGGTTAGGAGTTTAGGCTGTCACGCTCAGCGTTTCAGGCTAATTCATGGCAACAGATGTTGGTTTAGCTGGTGTAGGAGACTAAACCCGAGTGGATCCTCAAGCTTCTCCACTGAAGCTTTGCTTGTAGCGACAAAGCATTTGTGCCACACTTCGCGGGAGACGAGCCAGGGGCGAGCATGTCCCTGTGCTGGCTCTCTCCTGCTTTGCGAATATTTGCAACTGTTGGAATGATTTCAATACCGTTTATCCCATGGTGCTGTCGAGTGCCAGACCCAGTTTCGAAGAGAGCCCACATGAGGCGGAAAAGAGGAGCTCAAGGACCAAGTGCCCCACAATTGCCCGGAGAGGTTTGCTGGTGTTCTTGTTTCGTTTGGAATCTCCGACGTGCTTCGTGAAACTCTTGCGAAAATTTGACAGTTTGAACGGCTGGTTCGACGGGTATGTAAGCCAACCAGGCCTTGATGCCCGCGTGGTCTCGCAATGTCGAGCACTCAGCGTTGCTTCTCATCGCCATCATAATCATCATCATCATCATCATCGCAGCCATCGCTTGTATTCAGCATGCCTAGAGTCTCATGCTAAACCTACCGTCCTTTGAGGTCAATCCAAGTCCCAAGCCAATAACACCCTGTCCTGCCCAGGCAGGTTACGACTTCATTCTCCCTATCGGTACCAAGCTCAGGACCTCGCCTGGTTGTGCTGAGCTGCGAGTGAAAGTATTGCAACACCCAGAACAGCCCTAACACCCGTTCCAAGGCCTCTAAGCGATTCCCCCAAACCCCAAGCAGGGCCTGCCTTGTGCGAGCGTGCGAGGCGAAACCGGATCTTTGCAACAAAAGCTATCGAAAAGTGTCGTTCAACAAAAGATAAGCCTAAACACGGAACCTGCCATGCCTGCGTGAGCGAGTGTGTGAGTCGAAACCGTAGCAAACCGTAGCCATTTTGGCTCCAGTCGTGAGGCGGTTCTTGACTCTGTGATTCCTTTTGTTTATTTCTTGTTATGTTTTGTGTGTGTATGTGTACTTTTTGTTAGTTTATAGTTTGTTTTTTCTTATTGGAAGTACTTTTGTTTTTGTTTTTCTTGAAGAACTGCTTCACTTGACCGATTGCTCCGATGGCGTCCAGCGCAGCAAGCGCAGATGAACTCAAACGGCGAAGGCACCAGGAGCAGGGTGACGATAGTGACCAAGCCGTTCAATCAGCTCTGATGGACTTCACATCTGGTTCAAATGCCAAAGTGATCAGGGACCTCCTTGATTCGAGCGTCTGAATAGGAGGGGGGGGCTTCCCCCCCCTCACAATTAGAATTGATGGCGCCACATTAATAGAAAACCATCTCTTGGGTGTTTGGGGCTCTTTGGGACTCTATTAGCTTTCGTATTAAGGAAGCAAGCCAACAAAAGCAAAGACTGCAGGAGCAGCCGGGCCGGCCCCGGGAGCTGTCTATACATGTGGTACCTTTATATAAATCTGGTTCGAGCTGCTGCCGGGCAGGCACCATAAGGGGTAGCTCAGGTCAGAGTGGAAAAATGGCTGGCTTTTAGAAGCGAATGAATAAGGAAGCCTAGCTGTCTGGGAGGCCTGAGTTTTTGGAAAAAGCTCGGGCTCGGAGGGCAGCCGCTGCTGCTGGGAGCGGCCCGGGTCCCAGAGAAGCTTTGCTTTCGTGTTAGAGAAGCAAGCCAACAGCAGCAAAGACTGCGCCTCAAACAAATGTCTCGGCAGCCCGACTCAGGAGGTGGTGGAGCAGGTGGGGTTGCAGCAGTCACTCTTGCAGTGGATACTGTCATGGATGCAGTGGGACAAGCACGGAATGCCAAGATGATGGAGGTTCGACCTTCTGAACTGATTGCCACTGCATATCGATGCACTGAATTCACGGAATTCAGAGCAGAATAGCATGCTGAAAGAGACGACCAGGCTCCTCAAGAACCTTGTGGTCGTCACAGGCCTGATCCAAGACTCTGCACAAAAGGGGACGGACCTGGGGGGCAGTCATGCCAAGCGAATAGCGGTTCTACAGCTGATCCAGCATGCCGGGACGACGGAGCAGAACCGCTTTCAGACATTGGACAAGTCGATGAAGACGAAGACGGACAAGCAGCACGAGGAGGTGATCGCCAAATTCACTTCCTTCGACAAGACAATGGAGAAGCATGACACAGACCATCAAAGGCTAGAGGCTAGAGGTATGATCACCAATCTGGATGGAGTCACTGGCAAAATGGACAAATTAACAGAAAAACTGGTGACGCAAAGAGACTGCACTGAGTCGCTCTTGAGGAGCCAACAACCTCTGTGCAAGACGATATGAACCGCCTCTTGGGGAGTGGTCAATACGTCGGCATGCAAAGATGCGAGCCTACACCGCTCTCACACCAAGGGACTGGACGGCGTACAGATGGGCAGCGCCTTTGGGCGCCCATCAACCAACTCGGAAGGAGCCACCCAGGCGTTGGAAGTGTGAGGAACATCGAGGGCATTCTCACGGACGCTGTAAGTGTAATACAGGAAGTCAGGGATCGTACACCGGACCGAAGCCGCATCCCTCCCCGTTACCCGTAACGCCCAGATCCCGCAGTTCGCTATACAGTAACGTTAGCGGGTGGCCGCACTGTCCCTGCACCGGAAGATGACATCCTCGGCTTCCCGACTAGTCCGTGTCCGGGTGACGCAGACCTGCAGTACAGAAGAGGTGGGTGAATCAGGAAATGAGCTCCGAGCTCCTTCAACACAGCTCAATGCCAGTGCGCTCCAGGATTGAATGAAAACTCAGATTGTCCGTCAGACTCCAGGACATCCTTCCAATGCCAGTCATCGCCTTTGGAGACTGAGAGACAAGGGTCACGACATGCACCTTACGCGGGGTAGTGGCTTCGGGTTACCTGTCCATGTCCATGTAACGATCTCACACATCGCAGTGTCGAGAAGGAAGCAGGCCGGGCGACCCCAAATAATCTGAACCTAAGCGAGAGGGGGGGCTCCGGCGGGGAGGCGAAGCCTGCGCTGGCTTATTTTTGGACTGTAGAGAAATGCAGCACATCTTGTATGGAGATTGTACCACATGCTGAGAGATGCTCCTTTTCACACGGGGTAAACTCGCCTTGCGCTCATTCGCACGTCTTCATTTTGTGACAGCACTGTCTCACAAAAAGATCGTTGCCAGGTCAGCTCAACTATTGCCCCCTTGGTCAGTACTCCAGAGTAGCAGTATCATGTACAGAGAATATCGACGGCCAAGGGTGATCCTGTACTTGCATTCGCGAAAAGGCGACCAAAGATATTACCGCATCCGAATTCTTTAGGCAGCATTGTGCTCATGGTTCTTGCTTCAAGCCCCTCGATGTGCTGTCGTTACAACAGGAAAAACAAACCAAGGTAAGAGTAGCAGTTGAATAAATAACAAAGTAGAAACAAAACATAACTGAGGAGGGTGAATCAAAAGTGCTTATTGATTATGCAGTTCACGTGTCATGCTGTCATGCAAGTGTGCACTGTTGAAATGCAAAAAGCGTCGCTGCGTGTGAATTCCGTAGCGCGCGTGCCATGTAACAAATTCCGTGGTGACAGGCATGCAAATCCATCATGATCGCATGGCGAATGCATGCAGCAGAGTCAACTGTCGTGCTCCGCCAGTTCGCCATACGACAAAACACAATGCCGACAAGAAAGGAAGTTAAACCAAAAGCAGTAAAGACGCGACATTGGTAAGCAAAAGCAACATACCTGTACAAGGGTGAGCCAATACCAAGAATACTGCCGATGTGAGGCACTGTGACGTGGCAGACGCAAACCTGATATATGGCATCGTACATTGAGAGAATCCTGCTGGCTACGACCAGCACTGTGGCATGGAACTGTAAAGAGCTGGGACATATCAGAAACAGTTGAGGAGTGCCACTGCGACATAGTTCACCTGAGAATAACGTCACCGAGACACCGAGGAATTCTTTAAATGTATGCATGATACTTCGATCGACTGCATGCCGACATTCCATGCATGGTGGTTTCAGTCGTTGCAAGCCTTCTCAGCAATACCGTGGAGTGGCCTATACAGGTCCACTTTCGTGGCACTGCATGTTCTTCGGGCACTACAAGAGAATCTCTGCATGGGTGGCTTCTTCTGCAAGAACAGCAAGATCATATGGGTCAACGTCAAGAACACAGTGAATGCAATTGCAAAGATGATTGCAAACCTGGCGGTGGACGGATGCATGAAGAGTAAAGCACCACGATGTGATACGAGCGAGGTGTGAAGCGAGTACGAGGCCCTTTGATGCGCGTGCAAGCTGCAACCCATGGTGAGACAAAGTGAGGGAAATAGGACCATCTTCAATTAGCTCCTGGAGCTTAGTTGCAAGACCCATGGGTGAACATTTTTCTACGGGCGTTTTCTGCGTTCGGCGTCGAACATTTTGAAACATTGGGCACTGAGTAGATGAACCACAGACATAGAGATCTGTGGTGTGGATATCCCGACATTACCAGCATTGAGAGCAGATGATTGCGCTTTTTGATTCAGTGCGTTTGTATTACGCTTTTATTGCTTTGTTATAGCTCTCTGCTGTTGATTTGTGGTGGATGTCCCGATAGCAATCTGAGACCTCAACCGCCATGCCAGCTGGGTGCGAGTGTGTGTGTGTGTCGAAACCCTAAACCCTAACTTGCGAAGCCTCCTGAAGCCGCGGCTGCGGATGCGCAGCTCAGGCTACGACCGGCCATGGGAGCGACGAGGCCACGCGAAAGGGAAGAGCTTCCGGATTTGCACACCACTGTAGGCTTTAGGGGCTGAGAGCTTAGTATCTGTATAGGATTTAAGAAAGTTGAGGATCTAGGGTTTAGGAGTTTAGGGGTTTGGAGTGAGTTTTTTCTAGACGGTTTTTACGTGTTTCGCATTCGTGTTTTGCAGGCCTTAGGCGGTGTAAGTGCAAGGCGCTCTGTGCTTCCACGGTTTAGGGTTACATCGGTTTTGCCCGTGAGTGCGTTTGTCAAATTGCAGGTCCCCACCCGTTCAAAACTATTCCAGGAGTTCAAAAGGCTCTCTAGCAGCTCAATCTCTGGCAAATGGCTTGTGAAGCCTGATGTAAGACGGCTTCTCAGAAGCACCAACGACCCGTCGTCATATACATATACAGATATATATATATATGTACATATACAAAAATAAATATATACACATTCTGAAAACGCATATATGTACATGTCAGCGTATGTCTTATGGAAACATCTCCTTGGGTTCCTCTGGCTTTGGTCGCAGCGGGCCAGGACTGCAGGCCGAGGGCCTCGAGGCAGATCCCTACACTCTTCAGGCCGGCCCTCCGACAAAAGTTAAGAATCAGAAGAATAAATAGCAACTGTAATTAGTATAAGTCAGAATAAGAAGAATAAATAGCAACAGATAGCAACAGTAAGTAGTATAAGAGCAAAAAAATTCAGAATGGCAGTAGGCTGGAGTAATAATTTAATAGCAATGACAGTGATATACCAACAGCATTTCTTGCAATGCAAAAACAATGAACATAACAACAATGCTGATAGGTTTAGCAACAGACAAGAGATAGTGAGAATCAGAATAGTATAAATAAAAGTAGTGAGAATGGTAAGCATGTCAGCAGCAGTCTTCGAAATATTGGTAGAGTTCGTAATCTGAATATCAGTAATATTACTAGTTGTATTAACCACAGTCATAACTTGTCATAACAATAAGAAGGATGCTTGTGACAACTCCCCGACGCCCGGATTGTTGATAGCTCCGGTTCCAGATGCAAGACGACATCATGAGGGGGGGTATCATCAAATCAGAAGCAAACATGTCCTGATGCGGAGAAGATTGCGAATGGGAGTTGTGCAATGTGGACACTCCGCGAACCCTTGCCAGACGTACGACACCAGGCTTGGCAATGTGCCCGGGTGCCCAGGTGTTGCATTTTGGGCTCCAGTTCGTGACCTCTCGGGCTGAATTCTGAATGGCTGCCAATTTTCTTCGCCATGTGCCCGTCGCCCTTTTTGAATTTCAGTTGCGACTTCAAGCCCAGAGTTTTGCAGTAAAAGGTCGCGGCATGCAGAGGCCGGGTGAAGGCGAATGGCTTGAGTCAGCAGAAGGCTTTAGGTAAAGGGGTGTTGCAAGTATTGGCCGTACAGGTTGATATCGGTCTATATGTATGTAGACAGATGAGGGATGGAGGATATAGATACAAACATAGTAATTTGCGTTATACGCACGGGTATAGGTATGCATATAAGTATACGGTATGTATGTTATGTATAAGCATATATAGAGAGATGTAGGTACAGAAACACGGTTATATTCACAGACACTGGCATTCATATCTGCCCATATATACGCGGAGCCCAAGGGTCCTTGCGAGACCCCCGCCACTCCGATGGTCATTCATATTGCACAGAACATGTCAACAACTCAGTCCAGACCTGCAGCCGGCATATGCGTGCCATCGCTGCCTATGAGGTTGCTGCTGGCAACGCATGATGCCTTCTTCGGTGATCGGTATAGCCTGCTTACGCCCAACTACGGGGGTCCGTGCCCCAGTACACCTTGTGTTTCTGATATGACTTGCTCTCCATCAGCTGCGCAACCTACAGCGTGACGAAACAATAGATTTTTCCCTCATGGCGTTGTGGCTGAGTTTCTTTGGTCACGTACTGCATTTCTCCTCATGCCACGAGGGTTCTTGCCTATAGCATTACTGGGAGATTTCACAGATAGCTTCCCATGGCCAGGTTTAGGCATCGACAGGAAAGAGGTTTGCTGGGAAGGGAATGAGTATGATAAGTGTATACCCTTATTACTATGGTAGCTTAGGGCTGGCTTTAGAACAAGAACTCAGCTTTGGAAACGTCCCGATACCAAGAAGCCAAGAAGCCTGGGCTTCAAGGGGGAGACAGGATGCTTCCCGTAGAACGTCCCCAGCCTAAAAACCTTAAAGCCTTCAGCTGAACTTTGAAGATACCTCTCGCCGAGGTGGTGCATATCGGAATTTGAGGCACTGGCAGAGTGGCGTTTGCATCATCTTGGAGCTGAGCTTCTGGCTAGAAAGCAAGCGGGCTCGGTAGTCGTGGATCCGGTTCTTTGGTTCCCCGACACCCTGCGACAGTCGTCAATTGTGGAGGAACATCGTGGTTCCGCTTCCCTTCTCGCTGAACTGTCCAAGCCCCGGAGCAAAAATGCGAACACTCGCTGTGGATGGACCCGGGGTTGGCCGACCCAGAGGGGCTCTTCCAAAGTTTGCTTTTGCACTTGTGGGGGTCATGGCCTGGTATTTTGAATGCAGGCACCTTTTGGCGCTCAGCGGTGGGACAAAGGCGTGCTGCTTAGGCGTATACAGCTTAGGACCTAGGATTTCGTGAGTTTTCTAATTGTTTTGTCTCAGAGTCTCGAGTTCACGACTGCTGTGATTGTCAGGCAATCCTTCACGCGGCGGTTCCGAGTGAGCTTTGCGGGCTCTCAGAATGGTGTGCGGGTCTTAAGTTTCTTATCGCAGTCGATCGGTGAGTGATGGCGAATGGGGCATGCAGGAAGTTAGCTTCCCCTATTTCGGGGTACCAGCAATATGGATCCTTATTTTCGGAGGGTTATCATGTTGTCGACATCCCTAAATACGAATTGGTCACGCGGGGACACTGAATGCCATTTGCCGGCTGCCAACCTCGTGACGCACTTATTGGGACCGTCTGTCTGGGCGTGAGTTAGGATTTAAGACTTAGAGCTTAGGCTTTGGGGTTGAGTTTATGAGTGACACTAGTCTTGTGCATGCTGATGTCTGCAAGCTTGACTAACCGCCATGGACTACGCACTTTAAGAGCACCTTGCAGGCAGCTCGAGCTTGTTCAACGCCTGACGATGGTGCTATAGGAGCGCATGGCCTCACTTGCAGCATAAGGACACACGCGCATTGATGCACCGCGCTGCTTCATCAGTGGCAACAAGCCGGGACCTCAGATCGTTCAGCTGGGGATATGCAAGCTAGAGCTTGCGGTTTCACCCAGCTTGGAGTTGGCCATCAAAACATCGATGTTCTCGGTCAATTGTTCGTCGCAAGACCAGGGCGAGTAGAGGACATCGATCGTGCAAATCGTGTCGATTCGTAAAATATATCAAGCCCAAACCCGTCTGCCTCTCCTACTAGTAGGAAAGACTCGACAGGAATGATTATCGGTTTCATGCGGTGTTTGTTCCGAACATGCCGACCCCCAAGATGGAGAAGCTAAGGCATGACCCCGGAGCAGCGGCCGTCACTGGCAGTCCGCTTCGTTGTCTCTGATGAGGAGGGGCTTTCACGACCAGGCTTTTTCAGCCGCAGTTTGAAGACAGGTCACCCTTCTCTCTCTCTCTCACTCTCTCTCTCTTGTCTGTCGTACAAGCAATGATTAGGGGCATCTTGATAAACCCTATAAACCCTTATGTCTAGTGCGACTCTGTCAGCTGGGCGGGGGCGGAGGGGGGGGGGGGTGGGGACAAAACATCTGTCTGGGTGCTGCTCGTGGGGTGCTAAAAGCTGATCCGCTGACTGCTCCCGGAGGAGAGAGCGGAGCTGTCCCGTGCCGGGAGCTCACTGGGCTGATTCTCGGAAGTCATCCGCTTGTTATTTTTTGTTGAGAAGACATAGCCTTAGTCTCATTGTTATTGTTATTCATTCTCTTGCTCTTATCAGATACTGTTAAACGTATTGGATATACTACTATCTATTAGGACTTAATCCAGTTTGTTGTTATATATGTTCTTGATGAGAGAGTGTGTGTGTATGTATATATACATNNAGAGAGAGAGAGAGAGAGAGTATACACAATAGTATACTACAAATTGCAAACAATATTAAATGTTGTGCTTGCACGGCCGCCGGAGCCTGTGCATGCTTTACCAAGCATTCGCCTTGTCAAGGCCCCGTCAACTGTGCTTGGCCGATGGTTCGGAGGCCACGAACACTGACTACCACGACATGTCCCCAATGAAAGCTGCTCGTGCCGCAGATTCAGTGCGCTCCTTCGACGACCTTCTGCTGAAGAGCGACTTCTGCTTGGCAAACTGCTGAGGAAGTGACGAAGCGGGGCCACCTGCGGGGCGTGCATGGTAGGCCCTTGCTCGATGCGAGGTGTTGCCTGGAGACGTGTCCGACCTTGCTACACGCTCAGAAGCGGGTCTGAACGATAGAGCACATAGCCGCTATATCATTGCGCACGCGGCCCCATGCAATGTGAGGCCATGCGGTTCCTACATGCTCTGTCGGCTGGTTGCACACCAGTGGTCGTGCTCGCCACAGTTCCTGCGGCATCAA